CAATCCGACTTGAAATGTCCCTCTAAATTACAGAAGAAGCATTTCGGTTCATATTTCATTATGAGCCCTCTCACATAATCTTCGTGGTCCTCGTCGGTTGCATCAACGTCGTCAAGAAAGTAGCCTATCGCCTTCATATTTTGTTTTGTAAGTAGAACAGGCTGAAATTTTGTGGTCCATCGAACCACACTTTGCACTTGACCTCCTCTCATCCATGTCATCACGAGGTCTATACCAACTGGAATTAGCGTCAATATTTGTTCCACTGTAGTTGTAATTGTTGTAACGATTTTGCGCCCTTGGTTTTATGAGTAAGTACTCACGCGACTTTGTGCGCAAATCATCGGGCGTGGGCGCTTGATCCAGCGATAGGGTGAAATATGTGACCAACATGGTTTTTAAAAAATTATATTTTTTACTGCAATGCAAAAGCTCCAAAAATTGCACTTGACCTCCTCTCATCCATGTCATCACGAGGTCTATACCAACTGGAATTAGCGTCAATATTTGTTCCACTGTAGTTGTAATTGTTGTAACGATTTTGCGCCCTTGGTTTTATGAGTAAGTACTCACGCGACTTTGTGCGCAAATCATCGGGCGTGGGCGCTTGATCCAGCGTTAGGGTGAAATATGTGGCCAACATGGTTTTTAAAAAATTATTTTTTTTTACTGCAATGCAAAAGCTCCAAAAATAAATTTGAAAAAACTTGCGTGAGCCTGCCTACTCAACTCCTTCAATATCAAAAATTTCCCTTCAATCTCTTAGAAGCTATTAGCGACTCAGATAAAGTTAAACACAGGGTCTGCCAGTGTTGAGTCCTTACTAACTCTCTCAGTCACCTAGTATAACAAAATTTCACAAGATCTTATAACTAACACGCAAAACATAAATAATAACCAGATAAGATTATACTATTTTGTTCAGTATCTTCGTACCGCTACAGACGCATCAAATCACTGCTTTGTTTAAAATCAAGCAATTTTTTATAAAGGAGCAGTGATGGTTTTAGTAACAGATGAATAAAACTTAGTCTTAAAGAAAAAGACTTCCCTCGATTGGAACACTCCAAAAGAACGAAACCCAGGACACTGTCTTCTCAAGTGAGTGTCTCTTGTCTAATACACTCATTGCGGTCTTCCTTTATATGTCCTGTGATTGCGCGAGCTGTCCTACTTCGTAGCTCAAGGCAACCTCTTGATCGAAAATAACTAGAGTCTAAGCAAAAGCTCTCCCACACCCGGACAGCACCAAGTGCACGAGAGAAGGGGACAGCTTCGTCTTCTCAATGAGTGTGTCTTGTCTAATACACACACCGTGGTCTTCTTTTATCTATTCCCGGATTGCCCGAGCCTTTCTCTTAGGAAGCTCAAGGCAACCACCCAACCAAAACCAAAATAACTGTCAAAAAAAATCTTGTTCGGATACTTTTGATGAACCCCATTTAGAATCCAAAGTTGATCGGGAATCTCCGGGTCAACTGGGCCACTTTTTTCCTAATACACACGTCTCGTGAGTAGTCGACTCTCTATTTGACCTTAAAAGGATATCTAAGGATGTTTAAATTGTCCCGGAGTGTCCTTCCAAATTTTCACTAAGGAGGATTGTTAAAGGGCTTAAGTCATTTCGGAGGGTTACTTCGGAGGGTTGTTAAGACACTTAGCTTGCTCTGGAGGCTTACCTCAAAGGGTAGCTAAAACACCTAAATTGCTTCGGAGGGTCCCCTTAGTTCACTAAGGAGGGTCAAAAAGAGGCTTAAGTCACTCCGGAGTGTTACTTCAGAAGGTTCACTCAAAACTCTAAGTTTTTCAAGTTTCGCGTAAAGGGGTCTCCAGCTAGTCTCAAAAAGAGAAAAAAACCAGCTAAATTCACTCTGGGGGTTATTTTAACTGTCGCCGAGGGTTGCGTCAAAAATTTCTGTTAAGGAGTTTTGCTAAGGAGCTTAGCTGACTCCGGAGGGTTACTTCGGGGGGCTCCCCAAAAATCACGAAATTAGATATTTTCACCGCTGTAAAGCCTCCGATTGCGGTCTACCTTGCTTAAAACAAGGTGGGTTGAGTCGGTTAAGCTTCCCAGTAGGATAAAAAGGTGATTTTATAAAAATTTCTGCCGCTCGGAGGATTCCCTAAAATTTGGACCCTCCGAACTAACAAATTTTTTTTTGAAAATTTTTGTTGCCTGAAGTTATCAACCCAATAACGGTTGCGGTCCAGAAAATTGATAAAAAACATCGACTCATGTTACCATAAATTTTCCGATTGGTGGGCTAGAATTTGAGAAATCACCAAAAACGCGTTTGTTAAGTTGGCCTTTTTTCGCCATTTATATAGGTTCTAAGATTCTTTTTCCGCATTTCTTACTGAAAGTGCCTAAAAATAATTCAAACGAGCATAGTAGCCCTGGAATAATGCAAAAAACATGGCCAAATTTAGTTTGGAAACAAAAATTTTGTTTGGAAACCAAAATCGGTTTGGAAACAAAAACTATCAAATTTGGACACTCCGATTCCTTCCTTTCCCAATCTATAAGTCTATTGCTCTATCCACGGAGCTATTCGGATGGTAACTCAAAAATCGCCCTCTCAACCTAGCAAGTTGTGCTAGCAGGCTCCTAACGTAAAAGTTTTTATCACTCTAACTCTAAAAACTCAAAAATTCGATTCTCAAAACATCTTGACGAATTTCGGAAAATTACAAAAGTTTTGATCGAAAAAAAACATTTTTTTGCCAACTTCTACCAAGTCTTTTTCCGCGCGGTTACTTTAGTTAGGCGGAACGAACTACGTAGTAGCTCACTGTACAGAAGCTTTTTGCTGTTCGGAAAATCTCGGATATCCAAAATTTTGGGGTTTCACAGTTTGGTCGAAAATCGATGTTTTTCGACAAAATTGGGGTATTTCTCGGGTCTAAATGGGAGATACGTGATATATAATAAGGATGATAACCTATTAGTAGTCGCTAATCAATATTTACCCTCTTTGCACCAAAATACCCGAATTAAGATCCTTAACTCGCAATCGATGGGGGTGCAATGGGACAGCGCCAATTGTGCCCTCCACCGCTTAAGTTTTTATGAAATAGTACCCGAACGATACTGAAATTGTGTCAACAATACCCAACAGTTGTTGTGGATGTTGTCCCTGATGCCCCCTGATGAGTTTTGATCACGTCTGTCTGTCAGCTTGCCACTCTACCCTCCGGTCAGCGGCAAATTTATAATTAACGTGCTTAAATACTCAAACAACACTCAAGGGAGGGTATCTAACCTAGCACCAAAACACTCAACCTTTCGATCAGAAATGACGTAAATTATTCTGAAACAGCAACAAATAGAAAGGTTAGATCACATCTCGTCCGGAAACATTATATGAACTGTCATTTTGTGTTTTTCACTGTTTTTGGTCTTTGTTTTTTGTTACTTTTTTTACAGTTTTTTGTAGTTTTCCGTTTGTAAATAACTTTATTTTTGTATTTTCCTTGATTGTATATTATTTTGTTTTGGTTTTAAACTTTATCTTTACTTGTTTTTGCTCCCAGGGCCTTGGAATAAGCGGGCTCATGACTTCCCACCTAACCCTCCGGCCCCCGGAATTTTTGGTCTTAACAAAAGTATAAAGCTAAAAAGCACCAGGCGGAGGTTCAGTACCTTTCACCTAGTACAATAAAGGACCTTTAGGCCTCTAAATTGGGCATACGCCCGGAGATGAGGGTTGGTCGCTGAAAAGCTTGCTGATCATGATGGTCTTATGCCTTTAACCGGCCCACCCAGGAGCGCCATAAAAACGTCTATGTAACATGAAAACCTATTGTAACATAAGACCCATAAAAACCTCTTGACGACTGGTCGGCGTCAGTCACCTAAATTCTACTCGTTTTTCACCGTCTAGACCTAGCCATTTTTATCTAGTCTGCTTAAGTAAAAGTTACCATTTCTAGGCCATCAGTCAAACGACTTTTGATCAGCTTTCGTTTGCATGCAAAGATAATCACATTGCTGGGTCTCGGATTCCCAGACTACATGACTACCGTTCAAAACACGGCTCGAATACCATATTTTACTATGCTTTTAGTGACAATTATATACTAAATCCATCGGAGATGGATTGACCCTTTCCTCTTCCTAGCTACTCATGCTCTGAAATAACAAATAAAATCGAGGTTATTTCAATCGTTCAGGGCATTAAAGCAGCTAAAAAGTGAGTTTGTTACAGTCTCTTAACATAAAACAGTCTCTGAGCGCCAGGCCTCCGATTCCGTGCCCTTCCAGAAATAATATTGTTATTTCTCCCACTTCGTGGCACAATAGGGTACTGATCCTTCCGGCTATCGCACTGAAGCCTCCCTTCTTCTTCTTGGCTTCCGCTATATGTCTTATTGTGCGTGATTGTCACGATAAGAGGCTTCTGAATTTTTTCCGTTTTTTCTTGACCGTTTTTCACTTGTCAGTTCGGTTATTCTGTTTTTCCATCAGTTTTCTACCAAATATGGCCACCAATAAAGAGAGGAAACCAGTGACTGCACTGATAACTTGCCTTTAAATAAAAACTGAAAAGACCATAGAAGAATCAAAACAGGTCTGAGCCCGGAGATTTGAGACCGAAAACAGAATTCGACACTGATTTATTTGGATTGAAATCCAACATGTTTATTGGAAGAATGGTTGCCTTGAGAAGTTTAAAATGTCTAGCGCGGGCAATCCGAAGGCAGATAGCTAACACAGAACTCGGTGGGTGCAATAGTCTCCCACTTGAGAAAAATACTGCCTTTAAGTTTTGTCTGCTTAGTGCGGCACTAAACAAGGAAAGCTCTTTCTTGAGAAACCTGTTGGACTATTGAGTTGCGACAGACCAATTGCAATTTACATACATTTTTTCCTCTTCAAGTTGAATAAATTTTTTTTTCATTTTTTTAAAGATTTTGACATCATCGAACCGTGCTAGCAATATTTCAAAAAATTAACCTTTCATTGCTGAGAATAAATAAGAAATACGCTGTACTTGATAATTTAATAAGATTCGTGGTATTTTGTTCGTTAAAATTTTCGGACATTATCGTGTTGTGTTAACATTATCTGTTGTCGTCATAGAGCAAACATGATAGCAAGCGAATCAAATGAGTGAGTAGTAAAAAGCGATAGATGGAGACGAATCTAGACAAGACGAGGATAACTAAGCTAAATCATAGCTCTGGGAAATTTATACCGAAGAAAAAAAAGAAATCAATAATTGATCCTTTTGTGGAGAGAACCAAGAAGACTCGGAACCAGAGAGGAAAGAAAGTTTCAGGCGGAATAGTTGAAACTAGGAGTCAAATGGCATCGGAAGATGAAAACACAAGATTAGAATTAGAAATTCATCAGAACCCGATTCTGGATTAGAATGAAGCAAAAAGTGGAACCGAAGGAAATTGGAACAGGAGATTACCGAGTGAACTTACTCCGGTAGAACAGAGCCACGATTTCTCTACTTCGAGGAGGACTCATTTAGACTGAAAAACCAGCAGTAGGAGGCTCACCTACTGAAAATACCATGATGCATGGGGTAACAGGGAAAGCGGCAACGTCTTTCTCGTTTTCGCAACGAGTCAAGAATCATGTTGAGAGAGAAAGTCTGCGGGAGGAAATAAATAACAATAGCCAGGAAATTACTAAAAGCGAAAAACGCTTAGGAGAAAAAACGGACAAGTACTGGACCAGGAACTTTTCGCGAATGAGGCAGGAAGAAGAAGAAAGCGAGAAATGATTGAGGGCTGACCTGGAGCAACTTCGGAGTCCACAAGGGCAGACTCTTGGGACTCTCGATAAAAGGATAGACGCGATGATCGAAGCAGCACTCAGGTTATCATGGACAGAATGGACGATCTTGTAGGAAACAGGGGTGGATCGAGAAACAGGGGTGTTCACCCGAGAGAGACCAGCAGAGAGCCTAAAGTGAACTTCAATGAGCATTCAAACGAACGAAGGACGTATGGGTCCACGAGAGGTAGAAGTAACCCATCGAGTGGCGCAACTGGGAGTAACACGCCCAGGAATCCCACAAACATTAGAGGGGGTTCTATTGGCAGTAGGCCAATCTCGAACGAACAAGCTTCGCGAGACGCACATGCGAGAGGAAGAGGTGATTTCATAAACTGGAATCACACGAACGAGGGCAGAACTCAGCTCAGGGACTCGTACAGGAGATACGTTCCAGATTCCTCAATCAGCAGATATGAACAATCAAGCGGTAGATTCACGAGATGCAACGGCAGTGTCCACGGAGTTTGAACCTCTGAACAGGTCCTCGTAGTTTTTCTCACACGGTTGTCCAGGATCAATGAACGATGCGAGAAGACAAAAGTGTGTCCAGGAAAACAAGATGTTATAAGGATGAATCTGACGGTTGTGTAGATACCTGGATAGAAGTCATGAAGCTGAATTTTGAGGATGAAAACTTGACAGAATGACAAAAATGCAGTTCGCTCACGAACAACTCGGAAGGGACAGCCCTGAATTTCGGGATGGCCAAAAAGCAATACCCGCGTGATACTGCTGAGAAAATTGTCGAGATAATGCTGAACTGCTTTAGTTCGGGAGTGCAAGGACACCAAGCAAGAATGCGCTTTGAGAAAAGACGGCAACTCCAAAATGAAACCATTGACAAATTGTTAGATGACTTAGAAATGTTGAGAAGGCGCAGTCAGCCGAAGGAGTCAAACAGCAGGATGAACTTGGCAGTGGCTTCAAAGCTCGTTGATAGTGCGAGGAACGATGAGCTCATGGAAACTATACACCTCATGGAAACTATACACCTCTTTCAACCAATGGAAGGACAAACTATGCTTGCCAATGAGGACTGACTATGAGGAAACGCCAAACGTAAAGAAGCATCGAGTAAAAGACTGCACAACTCAAGCGATCAAAGATCTGGTTCTAAAAAAAACTTTTGAATTGAAATCTTTATTTAAACATTTTCAATGAGATCTGAAATAGTTGAGCTGATCGAATTTTCCGGAACTCCCCTCGTCATATGAATTAGTGTCATATAAACCAGTTCTGCCGGAAATATAGCAATTAAGAGGCAAGGTAGGGGAGGGGGACTTTGAGTTGCTACCTGCCGTTTTAAAATTTAAAGCGGATATTGGTTATTGTAATTTCGTCGAGCACGAGATCGAACTAGAAGAAGGCGCCGTTCCCCCCAGGGAGGTGGCGAGGCGCATGACAACTCATATATCGGAGGCGTGCCGAGCGGAATTAGAAATGCTAGAACGGAAGTAGAAATGATAAAACACTCTAAGTCACATTGGGCCGAGCGGAAATAGAAATGATGGAACCCTCGAAGTCAGATTGGGCTTAGGGAGTTGTCATAGCCAAAAAGAAAGGAGGACAGCTAAGATTCTCTTGCGGCTTTCGCTGCCTGAACCCGGTGACCATAAAGCACTCTTACCCAATATCACGTAGAGACGAGAGCCTCTGGAAACTTGGCGATGCCACGTTTTTTACAACACCAGACCTGGGTTTTGCCTTCTAGCAGGTTCCCCTATGGAAACAGGATAGAGAAAAAAAACAAGATAGAGGATTTGCATGTGAGTTAGGCTTGTACCAGTAGAACAGGATGCCCTTCGGTTTTGCAATGCGATGGCGACCTTTCAAAGACTGATGGCTCAGCCCTGACCAGCATGACGAAGAAGTATGGGAATCTCGTGATGTGCTATCTTGATGACGTAGTGATAGCGATACCCACCTTGGTAGACCACATTGACAGACTTGAAAAAGTCTTTGACTGTATGAAGAGAGCTGGCTTGAAATGCAAACCCTCTAAATGTGAGATCCTTAGGGTCTCAATAAAGTACCTGGAAGAATGGTAAACAAGAATGGCGTGATGCCTGATTCGGACGCGGTGGAGGCCGTGTTAACATCGAAAGCCCCAAAACGAACACGCAACTGATGAGCTTGCTAGGATTTGCGAATTTATATCGCGAGTTCATAAAAGGATACGCAGACAAAGTCTATCCGATGCAGCGACAGATGCGCAACAAAAGAAAGAAATTTGAATGGATTGAAAGAGCTCAGGTAGCCTCCGAGATTATAAAGCCGGAGCTGTGCGAAGCGCCAGTGCTAGTCATGCTCAAAGAGAATGACATGTATGTTCTCGACACTGATGCTTCAGTAGTAGCCATTTCCGGAATACTGCATCAGGAACAAGAAATGAATGGGAGAACAGTTCTCCGTCGCATAGCATACGGCAGTAAGGTGTTGAGCATTACTGAGATGAAACACGGTGCGCCAAAGCAGAAATATTTGCGGTAGTCACGTTCGTGGAGAAGTATCTCGCCTACTTGGGGAGCGCTCCCATTGAATTGCGAGCGGAAAACCGAGCCCTATCCTGGTTGCAAACGTATTCGATGGACCAGAGTTACATTGGTCGTTGGATAGTCAGGTTGGATAGCTACCACATGATAATCGAACACAGGATGCGTGACATGCACCAGAATGCTGACAGCCTCAACAAGAAAACTGAATTTTACGAAAAATTGGAACAGAAGCAGGCCAATCAGGCGGAATTCAAGGAGGGGTTCTCGTTTTTTTGCAAAGAGACTTACCAAGCACTTCCATCGATGAGGTAGCTGGACAATGCGGGACATCCTATTCCAGGACATCCCGAAACAACGATGGAGAAATCGGCAGAGATTAGACCTTATCCAAGAAGGACACGGAACCCTTGGATCTAATGCTACGTTCAAACCTGGAGCAAGACGAATTTTCTCGTATGAACATAAACAGTCTCTCCTTGCTAGATAAAACAGTGCAGGTCACACCAAAAGTGATGCGGATGCTGGGTGGATTATTAGAAAAATAGGTGACTAGAGATGATCCTGAATGGGCAGGAGCCATGCCATCGTTGACGGTCAGTGCCAAAGTACGGATAAAACCATCAAGACGCCAGCACATGCAATATGAAAGGGATTGTCGGGCAGTAGTTCAGCAAATAGTTTCCTCAATTCCACGGAGCGTTTTTATGAGAACATCGTTCAAGACGAGCGAACAAGAGGTCTGGACCTAGAAGAACACAGTTACTTTTGCGGAGCCTGATTAAGGACTGATAGAATTGGGTTGAAAAACTCGAAGCAAAAAAATTTGTCCGGGCAATCAGACACTGAAGGAAGCGGATATGTAGATGGACATGACCAAGTGGACAAGTTTTGTCTGGGGATTTTAGATGGATGAGTAGATTATGCACATTAGAATCTGCCGTGGAGAATTGATCCACGACAGCCTCATTTGTCCATAAGACCTCGAAGAAATCGGTGGTTGACACGTACTCAGATAGGAACTCGAGCACGGGATCGGAAATGTCAGAGTTAGCGATCCACACAATACTGTTGGAGACACGTGCAAGTGACTTGGACAGTCAAGTGTATCAAGACCCTGATAGTGGTTGCTACCTGTTCCCTGAGTGATAAAGTCTTTGATAACGCGACAGATGACTTGGAGATGATAGCAGTGTCAAGAAGTTCTATGAGCCTATTACTGCAGAAGAAAGCAGTCAGGATTAGCGTGGAACCATTCGAGCAGGAAACAAAGCCATTGACAAAGATTTAGTGAAGATGGAAGATGACGCACATCAGCCCGATGAGGTGAGCAGTCATCTTAGGCTCGTGAAGACGTACCTGAAGGCAAGATACAGACTCTCGAACTTGCTAGGAGCGCAGAAAAATGACCGTATTACAAGTAGCCTAGAAAAGTGGATCGAAAATGGGGTAACAGACAAAGGATATCTGGAACAAGATAGTTATCGGATCTTGATACGGTACTCCATGCAAAAAGAGGAACGATTGTATCTGAATAAGGATGGGATCATTGCCTGCAAAAAGAGAGAAGAGGACAAGGTCCTGTACAAATACAACGCGATAGTGCTTTTATTTAGGTCATTGATCAGATTGCTCATCATGGAATAGATAAAGTATTCGAGAGGATCTTGAAATGCTTTGAATGGCCTGAAATGAAGAAGGCATGCGAGAAGAGGGTG